AGTCAAATGACAACTTTCAACTTAACCGATGGAAGAATTATTTCAGACAAAAATGTTGATATAACAGGGAACTCAAAATAGGGGCTAGGATTAAAAGCGGACAAGACTACTTACCATTCACCGCAAATTACAAGATAGGACTCAGAGGATTCATCACATAACATGTAATAATAAAAAAATAATAAAACAATCTACCGTTAGAAACAGGAAAAAATCACCCCCGACATGACATTTGACTTCCAACCGATGCATAGTTTCTATAAAAAAGAGTGTTACAAGCAGAAATAAACATTAACAAATACATCCTACCCTGTTGTATTTAGAGTGTGTTGTCTCTTTCAAGAAGCATCCGTGAATAAATCCCAAATATATGACCAGACATAACAACTGTCACACTGGCGTTTGCTTATACCAAACGTTCTCAATGTCATTGAATTATGCCTAGAATTACAAAAATCTGGAGAAAGTGTGACCCCTTGAAAGCATTAATCACAACAAAATTACATGAAAATTGCAGACTCGGTTTGATTGAGATTGTTGCCTCCTGTGTGCCCTGCTGATGTGGCTGGAATTTGTCGGGGGCTGCGCTCTGTGGACGTTGCGTTGCCTTGTTAATCTTTATTCTCATTTTTTTCTGTACATGAGTGATAATGAAAAAGTGCAACATCCCTCAAGCCCCCTAGCACCATCCATAATTGTCACAGGCCTCGACATTAGCGGTGGTCCGTTGGTCCGAGACCACCTGATTTTGGCAAGGACCACTTAATTTTAAAAGCCGCTGGTCCGTCGGACCACTTGAATTTTCTGGTTGGTGCAGACTCATTTGGGATAATGGTGATTTGGTCAAAAACATGTTACAAACATTTTCTTTAAAATCGTATATGGTTCATTAATTATCTGATTAGTTAAAGAAGTTCTTAAGTTATCTATAACTTTCATTTTAAGTCGCTAAAATTTGGTTTATGCAAGTTAAAAGAGTTTAGACTTTGTGATATCAATTTAGGTACAAAATTCATTCAAATGATGCTAATAATTATGCATCGTCGGATACCTACGGTGGAACCAGTAACATTTATGTTATATTACATGTTAATTAAACGTGGACATCCGACGATGGTAATTATGATATTATATGGGATATAAAATAAACTTAAAATTTCATATACTTTAAAAATGGCAGCAAACAAAAGGAACTGGAAAAATACATCTAGTAATTCTTTGCTACTTAATATCTTTATTTTAACTGTTTAACGATAGAGATCCATTTCCTTCAGAGTTAAAATTACTTTAAAAGGTTTAAAATACTCATGTTAAAAATAAGTATCAACCAACAAGCAACAGGGAGGTAAAAATTTGGTATTATACATCTGTGAGAAAAATAAGCTAAACTATAGTTATATATAACATTGTATAACATTAGTATTATTTTTTTATCCTATTTTTAGCTATTTCCTTGTTTTAAGATACTTTATTAGTTTTATTAAAAATGTTCATCTATAAAAGATACATGTAATTATCATAATTAAAGTCGTACCACATATCAGCAATGAATATATGAATAACAAATTGAATAAGAAAATTACAGACACAAATTGTTTCACTATTCCCTAACTTGAGTTGAGAGAGAAATCATTTCTATATAAAAGTTAACATAAATAAGAGCCCTGTTGTGTATTTTTGAATGACATATAAAAAAACAAATAACTTTATGATAAAATACCTACTAACTTGCTCTCCTTTATTTCTGATTAGATAAAAATATATATCTAAAATGTCTGTTTTCTTAAGGTTAATGATACATCTTTGTCATCAATTTTAAACATATTTTTTCTAATTTTGCAGTAAATGACATATTTATAATAATTGACCACCTGACTCCTGGAAGGACCACCTTCATTTCAAATCTAGTGGTCCGGCTAACCACCTGCTAAAAAAGTTATTGTCGAGGCCTGATTGTCAGGATTGTTAAACGTAAATAACTGTTAGTATACTGTAATGTAAGTTTACTTAAGATATATGATATATTAAGCTACACACATTTTCTCACTTTTAACAAATTGTTGTTATCTACGTGAAAGTATATACATATGATATACCTCCTGTATAGAGCTCCTTCTATTAATAGACTCAATCCAACCGAGACCGCAACATTTTAAATTTATCATCTACAACTAACTTTCTCGCGAACTCTATCGTCATATTGTTTCAGTTCTGGTCAGTTCGGCACGTTTCTCAATTAACCTTCTTTTTGACAAAAAATTATTATTATCAATTACATGTACTTCACAATCTGATGTGAACAATCATAACAATGTAACAAATAAACTTTTTTATTTTTCTTTATTTTTTTTTCATTTATTTTACTATGGATATAATATTGCATGAATAACAAGATTAAACATATTTTAGTTCAAATCAATCACCAACACGCACCTGTGGTTCTGTGTGTTAATTTGTTAAGTTAGTATGTTAATATAGAAGAACAGCACAGTTGGAAATATAAGAATTATACTTAATACACTTTTTAAACATAAACATTATCATATAGTTCTAATATCTATTTCAATATAACATAATAATTCAAGCCCTATTTTTTTTAAACATCGTTTATGTCTTTTATATCAGCCTCACTATAATAACCCAGGCAAATTAATTATTTCTTAATTATACTCAATATATTCACAAAAATATGTAAAGAAAATCACTGTACCCTGTCTTGCGACCAAATGCAATTCAATATGTACCCTGTCTGGCGAATGCAATAAACTGTTATTTCCGATTGGGTGCTGTTGTAAACTGTTATGAAATTTGAAAGGTCGCGAAATTGCGTGACAAATTTACATTTTTGAGAATTACGACAGTGTAGAAAAATGCAATGAGCTTTTTATTTAAAGCATTAAAAATCGATCACAGATAAAGCTAGATTAGACCGAAATGTACTAAATATCAGTAAAAGAAAATAAAGTAATTTACCTTATTATTTTTTCTGTGAATCAGGTCACACATGACATAAGAATACAGATCAAAAGTAGTTTCTAATTGAATAACAAAATAGTTCCTATGACATATGAAATGAACACCAACAAAAACAGTGAAAATGTACGAGAAGAAAACATTTACTTACATGAACATGAAAATCTTCATATAAAACACCCACACACGCACGCACACACACAACAGAGTCCTAAATCCATACACAAGAACTTCCTCCCCGTCCTACATTAACACTGGTAGGATCTGATTGTGACAGAAAAGGGCTCCATACGGGAGGTGGGGTTTGGGAGTATACTTATGTGATGCATTGTTTGTTACTGTAGAGAGACCTCATGATTTCTTCATTGTCTTTCTGCAAATGGACTACATATGACCAAACCAGGAACAACTCACTGGCTCTTCTACCTAGCCTTCTTCATCGATGCCATTTTGAAGTGGTGTACTTTACATAAAACAACACCTAGGAGTTAAATTTCTATATAAATTTATACAGACACTGTGAATAAATATATAAATTTGTACAGCAGCTATTATAACAAATAAAGCAATTATAAGACAAATAACAAAGATGTCTTGCAACAGACAATTCATATCAATTAATATTTCATAATTGCAAAAAAAAATACAAAATTTACACATTAATTTACATTTCACAATTTTAGTATTGAAATAAATATACACATATCAAGTTAACTGCAATTAAGATTTCCTCAAAATATAATGATTATAAATTATTTTGTTATTTTTATTTTCACCACATTTAAAGTTAATTCAAATCCCATCAAGGACTGACAAAGGGGCGTCCGACTTCAAACCACTTGCCCCTCACCGCTGTGGGTTCGAATCCCGACAGGGACTTCGGATTCTTTAATGTGAGGAAGCTATCCAGCTAGCTTACGGAACGTCGGTGGTTCTACTCAGGTTCCCGTTCGTGTCTGAAATAAAGCACGGAAGGGCACCTAAGGTCTTCCTCCACCAGTAAAGCTGGAACGTCGCGATATGACCTATACTGTGTCGATGTGACGTAAAACCCAAAACAAAAAAAAAGGACTGACAAAATTATGGACTACATTGACGACCACTTACACGAGAACTTCACAGCATAACTTTTAAAGTACCTTGATCCAGGAATGACAGACTTGTTGACGTCGACTAAACATTTTTATTATATCGTGAATTTGGACGTACATGTTTGACTTTGACCTTTGGGTTAGAGACTTGATTCTTTTACACACACAAGTTATAATATAATTCATCTGGAAATGGCAGAATTGTTAAACGGGCACAAATATCAGTGCATTTTTGTGAAAATTCATAACACAACTTTCGATGTACAGATGTGAGGTAGAGACCTATTTTTTGCACGTGACAAATCGTCATTATGTCCAACACACATTTGCATATTTAATAAAGTACATCCAGGAACGACACATTGTTGACACACAAGCAATATCAATGTACTTTTATAATAATTTCCTTTTACAATCAAAGTCTGTCCAAGACCTATTTGAAAGTCCGTCCATTTTATCATTTGGACAATAAAGACATCACATCTTCATAACAAATTATACCGAAAGAGCTTTTAAGTATATATGTCAATATTTGTTTGTTAAAGATATGCAATCTTTTGACAAATTGGCATTTAGTGACATTGAAACTGACCTAGTGAATTACTTTAGTATGTTAAAGCTATGACCTTTTATTTTGTCTAGGAATGTTATCCTTCATGAAATGAGAGCAATCATGGTCCTTTTGTTTGGTATGATGGAAAAGATGACATACATTTTTATTCTAAAGAGAGGGAAATGATATGACCATTTTTTACAGTTTGATTAAGGCCCGTTAAAATTTGCCCCTAGTTCCTTAATAAGTGACAATTCGTCCCAGATTCCAATTGCAAATCTGTTAAACAAGAAATGTCCCTTTGACCGACAATTGTAAGGAGAAATGTAGAAAAGTTGGCTGGACAGACGCGGGTGCAAAATTAAAGAACTCCGACACCAGTATAGAATAAATAATATTTATCTAGTAAAATTCTGGAAATGACTATGTCATATAATTTGACAAAACAAAGTAGAATGTGCAATTGAACATTTACACAATTTACATATATGATCGTCAACATAAGTAGATGCAATCAAAGATGTTCAGTTTTGGTAGAATTAATACAAATGTTTACATTAGTGGTAAAGAAATATCTATTGATAAACTGTGCCTCGTGCTTTCCTGTGTCATAAAATGTATATCACACAGTATGCGCTGTTGCGAACCAAATCTTCTCATTGTTTGTTTCTATTTTCACCTTGTTAAACATTCTAACTGCTGTTTCCTCAACCTTCATGCTGTGCTGAATATATTTCGGTAAAGGTTTGTCTTCTGGCATCATAAAATGAACAACAGTTCCCTCAGGTAACACTGATAGCATATTATGTAGAAGGGCTTCAATAACATCTTCATTATCTCCAAAGATATTTCTCAGTCCATATTCACCGTTTGGTTTTCTGTGAATGCTGCCATAGCCAACTATCTTCCCAGCTTCCATAGCAACAGCAACACGAACATCATCTCCTGTGAACCAAGCACGTAATAGCCGTGTACGGTCAAAGTTTGTGTAAACTTGACTGTCATATTTCATTAAGTCCGGCCACATGCTTTCCATCAGGGTTTTTGTGTCATATTTGAACATTATGTTTTGTTTCATTTCGTCATTAACTTTAACAGCATAAAACTGAACCTTATATGCCTGATAAGGGAACCCATGAGTAATGTACCAGTCTGCCATCTCAGGGCCTCCATCAAGAACAATGTTCTGATCCCCGGCCTTTTCTAACATCGCTTTCCACAGCAATCGACCAATGCCTCGTTTCCGGAGATCTTTGCGTACGATAAAGTTGCCAAAGTAGATCGTGTCCGGTGCATTTTGACTTACTCCACAAAACCCTGTCAATAGATATTAACGTAAAAGGTTAATAGATTGATAGATATTTATTCAGGTTAAAACACACATATACATAATACAGATTTGTGTTGGACATATTCAGGATTTGGTTGTAATTCTACGTCATTGTGGACATTTTTAAATTAATTTTGTTTCTGTTTGTCAGACATTATTACATTATATAATAATTTAACCAAAAAGAAGACTTTATTTTCCGATAACTGACATGGAAAAAATCCATTCATTTCTAATTTTACAAATAATGCACCCTCTGTTTTTGTCACTTGGTAGGCCTTCCTTTTAATCCTTGTTAACACAGAGGTGATCATAAATAATTGTCGGGATGTTCTGAACGCTATCTTATATGGTAAATCAAAGAAGACAATTTTAAGTAATAGTTTTCATCTGACAGGTTTATAACAATTATATTTACCGATCGTCGATCGTGCCAAGAACTTGAGGAGAATTATACTTACCTACAGGCACATCGTCTTTGTCTGCAGCAACAATCAGGTAATTCGGATCAATTCTTGTATATGCCAAGTGATCATACATAGATAAATCCCATTCATTTTCTTCAGCGTATTCCATCAAATACTTAACATCTTCTGGTCTGTACTGACGGATAGTTACCTCGTTAGCTGTTACATCAGACATTTCATATATCTGTGAATACATTTTACATCTGTCATATGATACATATTATAAGCCAGATAGAAGTCGGTACAACATAAATCAGTGAGACAGTGGCTGTCCATAATAATACGAATTAACATATTCCCAGAAAGGAATAAATTTAAAATGATCTAGCCTCTGTTCGATTGAGCATGTTCATATATGACACTTTTGTATCATTCCATGAAAAGCGGCACATGGTCCCCAAATAAAGTAATACGTTTGACATAAGTGAGAAAACAATTGGAAATAAATTGTGTGGCCACATGACCGTGTGGTTAACGCGTTTGACTGTAATCTAACGATCTCCGGTCGGCTGTGTTCAAACCCGGTCAGTCTAAAACCGTTGATAATTTGTGCAAGAAACTTTCATTGCACCGTACTGGTTGGTTCGAAAATATGACTGTAAAAGCTTATAGCTTCCTACGCAATCAAACTAAAATAAATTCAGTATAAACTAAAATAAAAAATGGAATCTTGAAAGGTGATCCAAGGTTATGAAACCTGCATATCACAGGCAGACGTAAACAGATCAACTTAAAAAGCAGGCAAAATATCCTATGGCACGGGGATAGGGCGTTTACCACAACTTTTCCGTGCAACGTCAAAATATCATACTTCTGACCGAAAATGTATGGGTGATTACACATTATTTAATTAGGAATAATGGAACGACCCTCTTAAAATAAGATAAAATAGAAGAAACAAAAAAGTTCCACATACATAGCTGAACTAGCTTCAAGTATTGAAAAATAAAACGTCTCCAGATGACTGAATGTACAGGGCGGTGTTTTGATAATAGTGCAAAATGGCAAATCAATGAAACTATGTGTTCAAGATAAACATAACGGTTTAACAGTTAATTCATCGTTTAAATGATTAAACCACGGATTTATAATAAATGTAATATAAATCCGTGATTAAACATACATTTTCATTTAAGTAAATTGACCTTATCTACACATATTTTTATAATAACATGTCTATGGAACATCGAACTTCTATGTCAAAAATATCATCAATAAACAGAAGATAATTTTACCTCTATAATCCCTCTTTTGAAATAGACTTGGATTATTGTTTACGTGTGTATGATATTGTGAACATCAAGATATGTCCATGTGTGTGTATGAACTAGTTTTATGAGATAACAAGGCAAACAGATAACACCTTGATATTGTAGGTTTGACAGTGGCATAGAAATTTTGTTTTGTGTATTCACACAAATTTATTTTAAATTTTTACCGTTTTGGGCGTTCTTTAGGGATTCCGGTTTTTTTTGTTTTCTATAGAGTATAAAATATAAGAACTTGGAACTTCATAGGTGTATAGATCATATTTAGGAGGAATGCATATAGCGCAATAACTATATATCTACATTTTGTATCTTAATACGTTTATTCAATGTCCTTTGTAATTTTATGCCAACTTTAATTATCTTTCATATCAATTGTTTCTCTACAGAATAACTAAATATTATTATCAAAGTGAAACTTCATTGGTATATTCATAGATCTTTATATGGCATTGGTCATTTTCAGAGGTTTTTTTATGTTTCTTTTTTAATAACACAACATAGTTTAATCGATTTTTACTTGGAGTTTTATTGCAAATAAGCATTTTTTTTTACTTTTTATAAGAGAGTGCACTGTCTTCATTATTTTCGACTGCAAAAAAGTATAATGAATAAAAGTGTTCTTCTTCTCTCTGTATAACTAATTCCAACATAAAGACATGTGTATTATTGTGCTTTGTTACTTTGAACGATTCGTTTGATTGTTTTATATAAATGTCTAATAACTCATTGCTTTTGAATAGTCATCTCTATGTTTAATATGTCATCGTATCGATTTATTCAGGCACATACAATGTTATCACATATATTAACTTGCATATATATAAAAATTACACACATAAATGCAACAAAACTAATTATAAGATTAATTAATGAGTATGTTCTATGCTACCCTAGGTTTGCCCATTGTTAGGTTGTATGGATGATAACAAGATTCAAACTATTCTACTATTTATTATAACCATTTAATACCAAAATACTTAACCTCCGAGACACAAACAACAACTTTGTCTTCGTGTAACCTAATGCCCTATTGGCGGCACCTATCAAGTAAGTTTCTGAGGTTTATGTCATGCTCTTCTCGAGTTGAACCATAAACAAGAATGTCATCTACAATGACACAACAACCAAGTAAGCCTTCTATAAGCACTCATCCATCTTTTGTTGGAAGAGATCTTGGCTGCATTTCAGTCCCATGGGACATCTTAGATACCTATAACGACCTTGTGGGGTGTTGAATGTGGTTAAGTATGATGATTCATCATTTAAAACAACGGACCAGTAACCTGATTTGCAGTCAAGTTTTGTGAAATATTTTGCAGATTTTAACTGCGGCAAAATATCCTCTAATGTTTTGAAGGATAATGTGGCCTATGGATTGCCTCATTAAGGTCTTTAGGGTCAATTACAATTCTAAATTTATCAGAATGTGGCTTATTGACCACGACCATACTATTCACCCAATTTGTTGGTGTGGTGACCTTGGCTATGATTTTAGCCTTTTCAATAGCATCAAGTTCCTTTTTAACTTTGCTCTGAAGAGCTAAATAAACGCCTCGGGGAGGATGAATTACTGGAGAATACTTGGGATCTACTTTGTTCGAACAAGCACCAGGTAATTTTCCAAAGCCATGAAAAACTTCAGGAAAGTCACGCAAGACAGAATTTTTACTCATTTGCTCATTCTGGTCTACGGACATTACAATCTGACTTAAATTGAAGTCAAGGCATGATTGTAAACCAAGGATGGAGGGTTAGTTTGTTCTCACTACATAAAATTCTACAAGTTTTGTGCATTTCTTCTTGTAGCTGCATGAGAGATTTACTACTCCTGGTACCTTAATTTCAGTGCCTGAGTAAGCAGTGAGTTTGACAGTTGGCTCTTTACGGGGGTATTGACATTGAGGGATTTGAAATCTGCCTCAGAAAGGATGTTACAGCATGCCCCTGTGTCAAGTTTAAACTGTTTAAAATGACCTTTAGAGCCCACCTGTAAATCAACAAATACCTGTCCCTTTGAATGTGAATCAACTGCACCAAATGAATACAAAATTCACTGTCACTGTTACTGTCACTGTTTCCAGTTTCAATTTCAGGCACTTTTTTGTTTGACCTACAAACAACTGCATAGTGATTCCAGTGATGGCAGTTCTTGCATTGTTTTTCTCTAGCTTGACATCGATCTTTGCTGTGATGTGATTGTCAATTTCCACATTTTGTTATCTGCTTGTTTTGTCTTGAATAGTGATTGTGTTTCTTTCCAGTCTCGTTTTGGCGTTTTGACGTGGAATGTCGTTTATAATTAATGTCATCAATGCTATTGGAATTAGTCTTATCACGTAATTGTGCCTGTGCATATTCATGTGACTGTGATATCCTGACTGCTTTTTCAAGAGTCAATGCTTTACCTTATGTGATAAGTTTTTCACGAACATCCTCATAGATCTAGAGTGTACCCTTCTATTAATAAGTGTAATTCTAAGAGGTGCGGATGTTGTACATTTTTATCGCACAGGTCTACAATAACCTCTCATGTCAATGGGAGAACATTTAATGTAATTTTAGATACAGATATTGACTGAAAGGCTACTCATTTTGTTTATGTTTTGACTTAAAACACCCCTGGGTGTGGCATACAGTATGTTGGTCAGACAGGACGTTCTCTTAAAATTCGATTCCGTGAACATTTTTATAAAATGAAAAATCGCTCAAAATTTACAACTTTTCTATAATAACATTTTCGTAGAGATGGTCATTCATTTAAAAATGTTTCAATTCAACCAGTAGAACATATTATTTATGATTCTGATACTTCGGCTAGTTTTAAAGTAAAAGTTAGAAACTTGGCAGATTAAAATGGATTAAAAACTTACAAACGCCTTTCCCACTTGGCCTAAATGACAATATTTTTCAACAAGGTAACATCTCTAAAGATCCTAACATTGATATATTTTCTATTCTGAATATTCGTAAACGTAAATCCCGATCTCACGGAATACGTAAAAATGGCAACATCAAACGTAAATCTAAAATTACCCTGTCTGTCACCGACTTAAATATCTTAAAAAATTCTGGTAAATATGCAATGTTTTCACGTCTTACTTCCCTTTCATTATCATCTCTGAAAATCTTAGACGCGGAGGTAGATAATATAGTTATTTAAACAGATCCTTTATATACAGCAGCTTATCTTATTCAAAGTTATACTCAGCATGTCTTAAGACCTCATATCGACAACACTTCTTACCACGACAGGCATTTCCTAAAAGTTGCCTTCCTTAATAAAGGTATCGACTTCATCGATTTACCCAGAATATTTCGTGATAAACTTGTCACTGATTCAGTTCCATTATACTTCAAAAACTCTGAGATACCTATTATTTGCTATAAATATAACTACCGCTATTATAAATTACGTAAATATTTTACAAAATTTTACAATCGTAACTTTGATTTAATTTCAAAATACAATAATGATCTAAAAACACTTCTGCGACAAGGGATTAGCCAGCCTGATTTTTACGGGGATGTTGTTTACAAACTTAGTAAGATCTTGGGTCATTGTAATTTTTCTGTTGTGTTTACTAAAACTATTAAACGTTTTATTAAAAGGGGTTATGACCCTACTATTTTAAGACATACCGCATGCTTAGTGTTCAACCCATTTACAGTTGGACACTACGCTTTCCTCTTTTGATTTCATCTGACGGACCAAGTGGGAGACTATATGATGGACAGTTCTTAAAGCCCTTTGGGACTGATTTGCCTTAATGTTTGTCTTCTGTATTGCTTCGTCGGGCCCTTGTAGGTGATTTTCTTGTTGCTCTGTCTTCCTTTAAGACATCGAGTACTTTTGTTATGGTCATTGGGTTTACTTTTATATGTTTCTACATGATCATTTTGGTGTTTTACTTATTTAACCTTTTGTAACCATAACAACTGTTAGAATTTCACTTGGCGGGGATTCATTTTATTTAGACTGTCTTGTTTATAGGAACATAGTGGGGCTAAGAGCGAGGTTTGGTGCACCATTAACCAGTTTAAACTCCCCAGTAGTCATTATGATGCTGCTGACCGTTCCAAGGCGGCGCCCCTCTGTGTTCCTCAGATGTATGTCTATGTTGTTTAATACTGTTTTGGTGATATTTTTGCTTGTGTCTCTTGTTGTTTCTCGTCTATGGTGTATCTTCCCCTTTGTCCCTAGTTTTTATTTCTTTTATTCATTCCTCTCCCCCCCCCTTCCCCGTGTCTCATTTTCCCTTCCCCTGTGCCTTTTGACTTTATGGGCCTAATATTAAATCATTTATTTGTTTTCTTTTAGTTCCTTATCAGTTAATAATTATTTATTCTAATGCAGTGGTTTGCCTGCCCGTGCTTTGCCTTATGCCCTGTCCTATTTTTCTTTGGGGTCCTCCTGGGCTCCTTGCCGCTGGCGCTTGTTGCTGGGTCGGGTGAGGGCTGCGTTCATTGAACGCCGCCTTTCCTTGTCGATCTTGTTTATCATATTTTTTTCCGATGTAATTCCAATAACTATTTGATCTCGTATGACATCATCCCTGTACCCAGCATGAAAAGTGCAATCATTTGCTAATGTTTTATGATCACATCCTTGTTATTTGTGCCGTGTGGCGGCTGTAAAAAGTCTCCCCGTACATTTAATCAATGATGTTATATTTTCGATCCTTGAAGATCGTTCAGCACGACATTATTGTTGTGCTTGTGGTATTTTTTGTTTCAACTTTTCGGCATTTTCTAGTTGGGTGGTTCCAATATTCCTACTTGAATAATGTTGAATCACCCTTAGGATATGTTGCCTGCTTTTTAAATTTGTCTTTTGACGTCTTATCTGTGATATGCAGGCTTCATAACCTCAGATCCCCTTTCAAAATTCCATTTTATTTAGTTCCGCCCATTGTTTTCTCGTTTAGGGCACACGCATTCTTTTACTTGGGGACCATACGCTGCTTTTCATGGAATGACACTACTGTGTCACATTGAAGGTTCCATGATAACCGCCGTATGAACACATCTGCGGATGTTTCTAAATTCAAAATTTCACCATTTTAGTGTTTAAATGTTGAATTCTGCTTAAGCCGGTGCT